ATATCTTTGTGCCTGGCATAATACTAGAAACTAGAAATATAGCTTTGAACAAGATTGTAATAGCCCCTGACTTTATGAAGCATAGAACCAGTTAACATGACCTTTATAGTTTTATTATTATCATTAATATTTTTAGTTACTTAGTTTTGCTATGGAGTGCATGTGCTTACCAGAGAGAGACAGAAGGTGAGAAATCACACCCCAGGGGGGATGGCCATGCCACAGTTCCTTCTACTTCAGTCTCCTCTTAGGGTTTGGGGCATGCACACACAGGAAAATGTTTTTCAAGCTGTTGGGTCTGGGACTCAAGGCATGTAGTCAGCCATGTGGAATCCAGCACCTTAACCTTTATACCACCTGCTGCCTCTCACTCTTATTTTGATTTGATCAGAATATACTTTTTTTCTTATATTGTTCAAATTTTTAATAATCATTATGCATATATACTATAAGGTATATAATCAGTTTTTCAATGACAATACTGAGGGTAAAAATTAAAGATAGGAGCTTGAAAGAAAGAGCTTCTATAAATTAGCATGTTGGTCGGAATATAATTTAAAATTAGAACTACAACAGCAGGTAATTTAATACTGCTACTGGCAAATTCCATGGTCCATTTTTATGGCATTAAATCTAGCAAGTATTCATGGAGTAAGTATTGCTTCAGATGTGATGCAATACATAAAACACTGAAACACATCCCTTGCCTTCAGAAGGGATTACCTATTGTAATTATATTTCAATTACAAGTAGTGTACTCTATTTAAGTTATTCAACATATTGAAGTGTATAGTGAAGATTCCACTTTCCTCTGAATACAAGAAGAGTCATAACATATTTTTCTTGACTTGAATGCATTTGTGTATTCCTTGAGAAAAAAATATATATATTTAAGTGTGTACTAGAGATTTTCAGTAATGAAATTATCCTTTTTTTTTTTTTACAGAATGTTATATCTAATATATCTTACTATGTTTAACTATGACATTTATTAGGAAGAGACAGTTCTGTTTTGTGAACTTGCAGGAAATATTTTTATGTAATATTATTTAAAAAAAACTCATAGCAGCTTTTTTCTATCAATTGTCTCTTTTAATTTACTTTGATATATTTTCTACAGTGGAAGCAAAATTCAGTGGAATGAGATTTTGTGTCTATATTCTTACAGGCTAGTTTGTGCCTAATTTGCCTATCTTCCTTAGAATTAGAAATTATTTGTTTAGGGGACCATCAGTTAGCGTAATGGCTATGTCGCTGGACTCCCACGTAGTCGACCGCGGTAGGCGTCCCGTGCTGGGTGGCTTAAAACTCACGCCGGACATGTGTGCGTGCGTGCCCAAGATCCCGAGAGGAGAACAGAGGAGGAGGGATTGTGGCGTGGCCATCCCCCCTGGGGGGTGATTTCTCGCTTTCTGTCTCTCTGTCTCTCTCTGTCTGGCGAGCGCACACACCCTATAGCGAAAACCTCTCAAAAAAGAAAGAAAGAAAGAAAGAAAGAAAGAAAGAAAGAAAGAAAGAAAGAAAGAAAGAAAGAAAGAAAGAAATTACTTTTTAAATCCTGCTCTTAAAACTTGAATTATTAGTCTCCCTATATTATGTTAGTGGGAGGAAAACTGTGGGTGTAACAGGTAATTCCTCTGTCGAAAAATCTTTTAAAAACCTTATGGAAAGCTTTGCTGTTCTTGTGCATTACTAAAGAAAGATCTAAAAATAACCAGACATTTTTCTGGTATCAGAGTGGATTAATATCTTACCAAGCATTTCTTTAAAAAAAAAAAAAAATTCTGTCCTTTTTCTTATCTAAAAATGCAGTGGATCTTCTATAGACAACTAAGGCAGAAACATCAGTCTCCTTTCTGTCAAGTGAATAATTTGTATCCCTTAGAACCTTCTTACAGGTCAGTTTCCATTCCCTAGAATTGTTTTAGCCCAGAAGTAAACTTAACTAAGTTTTATTTCCTCTCAAAAATATATTAAATAAATATTTTAACAACTTAATAAAGTTATAAAGTCATTTAAAACTCTAAAACTGCATTAATATAATTACAACATGATTTCCTAACAGATATTTAGGTAATCAACTTATGCAAAAGAAAATATAAGATAACGTGTACTATGAAAACTGTCCTGTAAATGTCAATAAAAACATGTATATTTGATTGTGTAGTTTTGACAGTCAATAGCAGTATAGGGCCTATGCCAATCATTAGACAGAAAGCTTATTTTCTGGGAAAATACACGTATGCACAAATGATCCATTATTACGTACTAAAAATTCATAAATCCTCTTGACCAGAATTGCTAGCAGATGGTCTGCTTTGAATATGGGATGATAAAAGTATCATCTAGATTGATCACGATTTTATCTTAATTTGAAATATTAACATGTAAGTTATACTTGAATTATGTTGTCTCTTTTCTAAATCCCTTTTCCAAGTATAAGTCAAGCTCTTCATCAGAATATTTCTAAGAAACTAATGTCAACACTGATAGTAGATTAATACTGCTGAAGGTAGGGATTTGTTGAGATTATTATTCAGTGTAATATAATCTGATTCTGTTTGAATATTTTTAGATGGGAAATTTGAGATGGATACTGTGTTCCTTCACAATGAACTATTTAAATTAAAATGTGACTCCTGAAAAATACATTATTTCCACAATGTTAGAGCTATTATTTTTCTCTCGATTTTTTTCAAGTAGTACTTTTCTGAATATAGACTGAAAAATAACCATCATTTCTTGGATAGCCATCGAAATTTCTTTTCTTTGTCATCTAATGAAGGATTATTCGTAAAGCAGAATAGCATCACCTAATGTCTCATGAAAAAGCTATTAGTATGAGGTCATCACATTTTTAGGCAGAAACTTAATGCAAACATTTTGTAGAAATCCATTTTCACAAACTTTTTTGTGTCTTACAACTCCCTTCTGCTTTGATGAAGGTTTATATGGTTAGTTCATGAAAAATAATGAACTGTTTTAGAAGTAGAAAGACTTTTTCATTTCTTTTTGTTTATTTTCTTCCCTCTGAACCTGAGAAAATGGAACCAACAGTCAGTGAAAGAATTCAGGAGGATGACAATGATTTTAAGTGTAGAAAGGCCTGCAATATCAAACTTTATCTGGAGGATTTCATAAATACAATGCAGTAAGGCACATGGGATGTGCCCACCAATCTCACTTCCACAAGCATCTCTCTAGAGGGTCACATGTTCCTTTTATTCTTTTACTTCCCTCTTTGGTTTAAGGTGAGTCTTAAAGACATAGCTTGAGGGACCAGCAGATGGTGTAATGGTTATGTCACTGGACTCCCACATGGTCTACCACAGTTTGAGTCCTGGGCCTGGCAGTTTAAAAGTCAAATTGGGCATGTTTGCATACGTGCTCAAAATCTCAAGAGGAGAGTGGAGGAAAAGGGATTGCAGCATCCCTCTTGGTGTGTGATTTCTCTCTTTCTGTCTCTTTCTGCCTTTCTGGCAAGCACATTCACCCTGTAGCAAAAAAATCTCTCTTAAAAAAACAAAAAAGTAGCTTGAGATACTACACAGCAGATGTGATCTTTTCCAGACTAGCCTGGCAGGCAGAGTTGCTTGCATTCTCAACACCTATTTCTCCTTTTTTCTCACTAACCCCCTTGCTGTTTGGGGGTTTTGTCTAAGTAGCAATTAGTCAGTCAGTCACTGTTGCAGTAGGAATAGCCATAGGAAATTGCTCTGGCCAATGAAATGCAGAATGCAGACATAATCCTTGAGGAGATCACCTCTTCCCAAATAGAAAGTCAGAGCTTCACTATGAGTAAGTCTCTTGATTGTTCTGTCTTCATGCTGCCTGCCATTCAGAACAGATGTCTTAGGTGCGGCCGCCATTTTGTACTTGGAGTGAACAAAGCCAACACACTGTGGATAGCAGTGCAGATAATGGGTTCTATGTAGTAGCTGAATTAATATCATAAATTGTCTTTTTTATTATGTGAGAAAAAATAACCTCCTATCTGTATAATCTATTGTTAGTTGGATTTTTGCTACTTATAGCTGAATGCTTTATAGGTTGCATGATTTCTCTTAAATTTTTGCTTTAAATAAGGTGGGAAAATAGATATTTCTAGTCAATCTTTTCAAATAATAAAAATAGCAATTTCAGAGGGAATATCTTATTCTTTTAACTTCCCCCTCTGGAGTTCTCAAAGCTATCTGAATGAGAATCCATGTACTGTATATGTTTAGATTGTTCACAGATGCCAAGTTAGTTGATCAAAGCCAGTGTGGTAAAATAGAGAATCCAGTGAAAACTGGTGTTAGTGCATTATCCTACTGTCATGACCTTGTTCCAGTGAGCCATAGGTTTTTTATTATTTCTTGGATTGTGTTACTCTTTGAGAAAGTGGCAATGCTATTGCTTTCATTTGAAATTACAAAGAACATTATTGTGATTGAAGCATTAAATTTTAGCTTCCGCTTGGTGCTAATTACATACCTACTAACTCTAGTCAACGTCACATTGACTGAAAAGATCTCTCCTAGGAGAAATTTGCCAACTTGTACCAAAAGTCTTAAAAATATTCACACTCTGTGACCTTGGAAAGTCATTTATGAATATTTATTTTAAAGCCTCATCATAGATAAATAAGACAAATGATCAGCAAAAGAGGATTGGTTAAATGATTTCTATTTCATTTAAACCCTGAAATATCATATTCTTACTAAAAATAATAAAGCAGAATGGCTAATTTTCATAAAATACTGTAATATTAAACATAACTAGCACATTATGGAATATTATATACAATATTATCCCAATTTCAGGGAAAAGCAGAAAAAAAGACTGAAAGCACCTACATCACAATATTAAGAGTATTTCATCTTGGAGTAATAGGATTGTGAGGGTTTGTTTTAATTTAACATTAAACATAGTGTAAGTGTAAATCCTTTATTTTGGCTCCTTTTTTATCAATCAGTTTACCACAAATGCATTTTTGTTTTGTTTTGTTTCTGATTCAGAAATTCTGAATGGCGGAGTCTATGTAGATCAGAACAAATTCCTTTGTTATGCAGACACCATTCATTGGCAAGATATTGTCCGGAATCCATGGCCTTCCAACATGACTCTGGTGTCCACAAACGGCAGCTCAGGATGTGAGTAGAACTATCCTGTTTAATGTCTCAGAATGCTTTTATTCCCCATGGGAAAATGAATGACTTATGTTTATCATGTCATTGACAATATTTTAAATTTTGCATCCCATTGAAATGTTCAGTTTTATGTGACAGAACAAATGGCTAACTTTTACCTCTAATTAATTCTCTTTCAGGAATCATGTTTCCTCTTAACAAATTTTTATTTTCTTAACAGAGTTCCCTTTTCTCAATATAAATTACTTAGTTATATTTCCAACGTCCATATATGTGCCCCATTGTTCATAAATGTATATACTGCTTCAATCTTTCATGATCCATATACCACTGGGACAAAGACGATAGAACAAAATACACCCTCCTACTCACTTTAATTCTTTTAAGTAAAATAATATAGGGAACATTTTAGAATCTTTAAGCCCTTTGCTTGTCCCTACAGCCTTCCTGGTAATACTTTATTGCAATTCTAAACACTATAGTGTAAAGAAATATGAATTTTGTATAGAAGAAACATGTTACATTCTGACTTCAGTCATTAGCCTAAGAAACTATTGAATTTCCTTTTCCTAAAATATTGTTTCTTCCCAATGACTTGGCATATTCAAAATATTTAATATGATTAAATGATAAGCAAATAATATTTGAACTATTATTAAAGTCTTTGAAAATTATTTTGTCTAGAATCTGTTTCATTTTCATAAAGCAGGTTATGGTTGTCTCCACATTTATTATTACTGACATTTGTATGAGATTTGTATGAGAATAGAACCTTTATCGAATACTAACCTTGGTTTTATATTTCTCATCTATTATTATGTATTTCCCACCTGAAATCAAAACTGTCTCCACAAAGTTCAATAATTATTTGCTGTAGTACTGATTGTGTTATGACGCTTTTGTAGGAAATCAAACTCCAAGGGACAACTATTAAATTTCATGATGGTCCTAATAATATAATAGAGAAATATGACTATATTTGATCAAAATTGACAGCTGTGTTTTTAATAAATGGCTAAAACTTTTTTTAATGAGAGTAACATAGTTTTCTTGTCACCTTTGAGCAGAAATTGGTATGAGATTTTATCTTTACAATATTCAAGTTGTCTGCTTTATGAAATTACATGTGAATAAATAATTGAGTCTGCTCACACTAACGAGGCACATGATGTGCTTCAAAAATGTTATCAATTTCAGCCTGCTCATACTGTCATACATATATTTGAGGTGGAGGGATATATTGGTTCTATAAGAGGAAAGGCCTGCTGACTCTCAGCTTATCAGAATGAATAGCCTGTAATGCATGAATGCAATCAGGCAACAATAAAGCCCAAGGGAAAAGCCAAAAAGAAAATGTGCCCACTGGCCTTACAGGCTTTGGAGCAGAAAAGGTCTGAGGGGTTTGCTGCACTTTCGCAGATGGCATCTTTTTGCACTGTTCATTTAGGGCAAATTTGGATGGTTATGCCCATAATTAGGCAACTGTGGCTGTATTTTTTTTTTTGCATTCAAATAATTGCAGGTGCAGAAATTATAAATGCAGAGTAGATTCATAACCAATGGTCCTTTCCAAATTAACTACCAATTGCTTGAGGAAGTTTTATTGTTTACACAGCACTTCTATTTGCTGACATGTATCTGATAATAATGAATTGGCAGCTATTCTTTGATTACTTGTTGCCTATGATTTTACCAAGAGTGGATTTTTCTCCTCTACCTTTTCTCCATGGGTAATCTTAGGCTCTATATCATAGTTTTACTTATTTATTTATTTCATTGTTTATTTTTTATTTTTGGGGGGGGGCTGGGGGAGAAGTTTTTGCTATAGGGCACATGCACTCACCAGAAAGACAGAGAGACAGAAAGCGAGAAATCACTTCCTGGGGGGAATGGCCACGCCACAATCCCTTCTCCTCCATTCTCCTTTCGGGATCCTGGGCACGCAAGCACACTCATGCGGCATGAGTTTAAGTCACCAGATCCAGGACTCGAACTGCAGTCAACTACATGGGAGTCCAGAGACATAGCCATTACGCTAACTGCTAGTCCCTATTTATTTTATTTTTAGAGAGATTTTTGCTATAGGGTACATGCACTCACCAGAGGGACAAAGAGACAGAAAGTGAGAAATCACTCGCCAATGGGATGGTCACGCTACAATCCCTTCTCCTCCATTTTCTTTTGGGATTTTGGGCACACACACACACACACACACAAACACACACACACACTCATGCCCAACATGAGTTTTAAGCTGCCAGGTCTGGGACTTGAAACATGGTTGATTATGTGGAAGTCCAGTGTTGTAACCATTATACCATCTGCTGGTCTCACCATCAAAGTATTAAATGCAACCTTTCTATTGTTGATTGCCAGAACTATTCTATTGATTGGTCCACCAACCAATCAGATATGCAAGTTAAAAATTGGTGGTCATAATTCTCTTTACCTTTACCTTGGTTCTTGCATTTAGTTTATCACTGTCATGTTTGTTTTTGTCCATTTCTTGATTTAATATATGCACTATTATTGTTGTTCTAATTTAGTAGTTTATCTGTTGCATGAGTTACTGAAAAGGGTTTTGAATCCCTAATACTTTTTTTTTTTTTTGAGAGGTTTTCGCTATAGGGCGTGTGCACTCGTCAGACAGACAGAGACTGAGAGACAGAAAGGGAGAAATCACCCCCCAGGGGGGATGGTCATGCCACAATCCCTTCTCCTCCATTCTCCTCTCGGGATCTTGGGCATGCACGCACACACGCCTGGCGTGAGTTTTAAGCCACCGGGTCTGGGACGCGAACCATGGTCGACCACATGGGAGTCCAGTAACATAGCCATTACGCTAACTGCTGGTTCCCGAATCCCTAATACTTTTGAGATCACGGATATTTGTAGCAGTCTGGTAAAATCTGTTGACCCCCTTTTTTTTTCCTTAAAAAAAAAAAAAGAGAGTTTTACTATAGGGTGTGTGAGCTTACCTAGAGAGAAATGCAAGAAGTTACCCACCCCCTCCAGAAGGGCTGGCCATCCCACAATCCCTTCTCCATTCTCCACTAGGGATTTTGAGCATGCATGCACTCAGTGTGAATTTCTAGTCCCAGGTCTTGGACTTGAACCACAGTCGACCACATGGGGATCCACCTCCTTTACCATTATACCACCTGCTGGCCCAAATCCCCTTTTTTAAAAATCTAGTTCAATCTGTGACCAAGAAGAAGAAATATCTGAAAGTGAAGGTTTTATAAAACAGGTTTTTTCAGCTAATCATTTGGAAGTCCAAGGTTAAAGAACCACATCTGGTGGGGTTCTTATAGAGTTCCGCGGTGTCACATCATGAGGGCAAGAGCAGAGCAGAGTGTCTGTGTTCACGTGTCTCTCTCCATCACATTCCTTTTTTTAATAAAACCACCAATATTCAATAATGGGGCCTTATCCTGAGGTCTAATCACTTCCTGAAACCTCACCTTTCTACACCATAATTAGAATTAGTTTTTACTCTTTTAATCTCATGATAATGATTTACTAAATTTTAATAGATGAATTTTGAGGAGACATTCAAAACATAGTGTTCTACTTCTGTTCCCCCCAATTCATGTACTCATCAAACATAAAATCATCTTAATATTCTCCAAAGCCTCTACTCATTCCAACACCAATTCAAAAGTCAAAGACTCATCTGAGACTCAAGACAAACTACTTCTAGCTATAAGCCTGTATAAGCAGAGTAAATTACATTATCTTCAAAATACCCTGGAGGTAAAGGCACAAGAACAAAGGAATGGCATATCCTAAGCAAGTCCAAAGCCCAGCAGGGCAGACATTAAGTCTTAAGACTCAAGAATTACCCTTCACTTACTGTGCCAAATCCTAACACACTGGCACAGAGGTTGGAACCCCAAGGTGTTGGGAAGCCTTGCTCCCTTGGTTTCATTGAGTTTAGTCCATGCTTCAGCTCTCTCAGTTTGGAGTCTTGTACCTGCAGTTGTCCCAGGTTATAGTAGTTTCATAGTTCTGGGGTCTTGAGAATTGCCTCACCCCTTTGATTCCCTAGTTCTTGACCTGCTGGAGACTCTCTGTGCTAGCTTTAACTCCACATTTCCACTTGGATTTGCCCTAGTGGAGTTTCTCTGTAGTGGCTCTGCACCTGTGAGGAGTCTTTGCTGAGATCCCCAAGTTATAAAAGACATTTTTTCAAATCTAAGTGGAAGATTTCATGCTTCTACAGCTCTTGAATTCTGAGAACCTACTCATCAATTGTGAGCTTACAAGATTACCTTCATGTACATACCACTACTGTCTGCCTTTGCATCTTCTGGAGCAGAGTGTGGGGCAGTAGAAATAAAGGTAGATTGAGCTCTACTGGGGCCAAGTAACATCTTATTAGAATGCAGGGAACACAGTGTAATTGAAGCTCAAGGCAGTGGGCTAGCCCTGGGCCAGTTCTCTGAAATCATTCTGCTTTCCTAGGCCATTTGACCTAGGCAGGGAACAACAATCTCTGAAATGCCCTCAGAGTTTTCTTCCTATTGGCTAGAAAATTATTGGGATTCTTCTGTCCCTGCTGATCTACTTGACTGGTGGGTTACACCTTCAATTTTCTGCTGTGGAAATGCTGCTTCATTTTTTACCACACAACCAGGCTCCAAATTTTATCTTAAAGTCACCTTTTTGCCTTTATACTTCACTGTATGGCTAAAAACAACCACACCACTCTATATCTTGCTTTGAAATTTTATTTGACAAATATTTATAACTCTTAAATTCAGTATTTCATGAAGCCTTGGGTCATGGACATAATGCAGTCAAATTTGTTGAATAACACGTATAAACTTTTCTCCAATTAACATGAAAATATTCCTCATCTTCTGCTGAAACCTTGTCAGAATGGACTTTATTATGCCCATTTTTCTAACAGTTTTCAGGTCACCACTATCAAGTTATCCCTAAAATGTTCATTTATAAACCTTTCTTATTGTGAACTTCCCGCAGAATCTTGGCCTTTC